TCGATCCCGTGTCGAGGCATTTGTCTACACAAATTCTTTTTTCCATAAAGATGTGAATATCATTTTTAACGCTCACTACACGATAGACGGCATCAACTTTTTGGACCAGATTCGTTGCACTACTTTTCCAACAGACGCGACGTAATGCAGTCATATTATGGTCATCCTTGGCCGCACATCTTAGCCTCAAGGTATGACTCAGATGGAAACCGACTCAAAAGCGTAACCACAGCCAAATTACCCGATAAAACAATTTCATTCTTTCATCATCATGGAATATCTCCAAGACATCACAAACCCAAACATTTGTCTGTCTGGCGGCGCCGACGGAGCTGATATTGAATGGGGCAACTGCGCTGATTCGATTGGCCATGAGGTTATACACTGGAGCTTCCCCAGTCATCCAAGCGCAGCACCAGAAGACCAGCTTATTCGTCTCACCGATGAGCAGCTTGCACAGAGCGACGAGGCGCTCAAAAACGCAGCGACATCTCTAGGCAGGGACTTCCCACGAGGAGCCAACGTTTCGCGTTTGTTGCGTCGCAATTACTTCCAGGTTGCATGGAGTCAAGCATGTTACGCCGTCGCATATTTTGAAGGGGAGAAGCAGGCTCCTGGTGGGACAGTTTGGGCAACGACCATGTTTACTCAATTACATCCTGGAAATCGCAATTTATATGTCTTTGATCAATTGAGGGGAGTTTGGCTGCAGTGGACGGGGGAATCCTGGATGAAGATTGATATTCCGCCGCGTCCATGTGGAATTTGGGCTGGGATCGGTGCACGCGCTTTGCAGCCAAATGGACGAGATGCAATCCGAAAGCTAATGGGCGTGAACTGAGATCAACACGCAATGCAGTACCAAGAGGCAGCAAATCCGTATTAGCTTCCGTTATTAAGGCGCCTAGGCTTTGGCCCATCCCCACGAAGCAACGACGACTTCCAAGGCCTGGTTGCGCGTCTTGATATTGGCCTGGACTATTCTCTTGGTTTATCTCGCGATATCACGTACTCAATCAATGGAAAGACGCTGGATTGTAAAAGAAGTGGAATGCTGAAGTGCTAAGAAATAACGTCTAGCACAATAACATAGGCACGGTATAATACTTGCATTGTTATTGAAAATACAAAGTATGAGTCATAACCTGGTATCCCTAGGAAGTCATAGTTCAGCAGTCCGCCTTTCTGCCATAGACCAAGTCTTCTACAAAGCATATTCGTGTCCATCTGCTCACTGTTCTCAACAGCCAAAACCAAGAGAAATCACGCCATTGATGGAAGTAACACTGACTAGGTAAGGACGAGCAAAAGCATAGATGTCCTATGAGGAATCATTTATCTTAAGCAGGGAATGAAGCATCGACGGTATGTTGCTTCAGATATTGAGAAGAATTGCTAAAGTCGGAACGCCAATCGACTCTGACCAGATTACAGGACTAGAGAATTGTCCGTGCAATGGAACAATCTGTTGTTTAAGATTGATGGAAGAACTCATGCACGTCCAAATATTCGCGAGGCATGGCAGTTATGCATCAGATTGTTCTTGGTTCTAGATACCTTTTATCCTTACCTTCCGAAAGCACAATGAGACCTATTAAGGAACAAAGGATTGAGTTAAATTTCATTCTTGAACCGCTCTGAGGTTTGTCGAAGAAACAAAGACGCAGAATCACGGTTGGTGCAATCACAAGGTCGCGCTAATATTCGATACAACGATCATTTCTAAGGTTAGAATATATACGTGTGGTTCAACGGAACAGGGAAAACTGGCTTATGTTCCACGGAACGATGGTTGAATTCTCTAGTAAAGAATGAGCGTGAAAGTTGTCTACATATCCTTTACCAAGTGCGCTCGCCATGATCACCACCCCAAAAACCTGCTTCCTCCTGCGTCGCCTCCATACTGCCAAACATCATGGTCTGAGTCTAGAATGTATCAGACTGAAGTAGGGCTACATGTATTCCCTATAATCTGCAATCCTTTTCCGGACCCTCGATTAGTTGGTGCACTTCGTGCGGCCAAGACCAGTGAACCAGCTCACGCTAGACCACTTGCCGTCGGCGTTACACTTTCCGCTGTCCTTGCCAGAGGTGCGGCATTGGGTTTGGCAGTCCTCTGTACCGAACTAGATGCAAGGAAGGGGTTTGGTTAGTTTGCAATTTACAGTGTCAGGTTTGCTACGGGCTAGATGAAACTTACATTAACACAGCAGTGAGAGCCATCTGCGTAAAGGCACTGGCAGGTCTGTCCAGTGGGGCTTTGGGCAGCAGCAGTGCTGATAGCAGCAGCGAAGATAGCCAGAACAGAGAGACGGACCATTTTGTCGATGTAGTGGTGGTAGTGGTAGTAGTGGTAGTAGTGGTTGTTTGTGCTGATGTTGTTGTTATTGCTGTAGGTGTTGATAGAGACGAGGAAAAAAAGAAGGGGATTGTTCCTCACTTTATAGACGACTCAGTCGGCCAATGCTTCTACAAATGCCTGGAGACTATCGCAATCGTGGTGCCTTAACGACCACCGTCTGGCCAAGAGTGAGGCATAGGAAAGTGTCCGTGACTTGATTACACGTGCGAGTGGTTTGACCGCCTGGATGAGTATGTAAAATGCAAGGGTCCCAAACTCAATTGACGGCGAAAGCCGACTAACATCCCAATAGAGCGAAGATGCCTTCGCCATGAATGCCAAGTCTAGACGCCTCACTCATGGAGCATCACAATACGGCACTGAATATGAAGAGCAACAACCCGTCTTTCTCAAGCTGGCAATGCGGGCGCATGATAGCCCTGTAGCTTGGATCCACCCAGTCGGTCCAGTGCACGATTTCCGACTAACCGAGCTATTCGTCGCTACATGAGTCGTGCAAGCCAATGGAGGTTTCACAGTGAGAAGCAAGCACGTACCAGTACAAGGTTGTCAAATATGACACTATAGACGGAAAAATTCAATCCCTGACATCTATGTAACGTCCCAACTTTTATACTTTCAGCACTGATCAAATACCGCGTCGAAGGATAACTCGGCACATGATCAGCATTGAGTGGAGCAATATGCCCCGGTTTTGTGGAGAGTTGGAGGATTAACAACTACACGTGTAGCCATTATCGTACTATGGCAGCTGCACGGGCGGTCTTATTTAGCATTTACGCTCTAACTATATAAACTCAATATCTAATGTTATTTTACTATACGAACTCGATACCAATTACGGCTTAATGCGAAAATCAAATAACCTTTCACTAGAACGTGGCAGCAGCTCAGTACGCCGAGTATAGTGTCCACTTGTGATACTCTGTAATTCCAACGAAATGCTACTATCTGCCTCTGCAATCAAGAGTAGAATCTAATTGGGCACCCTGATGGACGCCAAGTTACTGAGGGCCCTCACCGTCATTTGGCGGTCTTGACTTCGATGGGCATACCTTTTCTGTTTGACCAGGTATCGTAAGAGCCGCAAGGAAGCCTTTTGATAGATTCAGAACGACGATAAGAAGAGTAAGCATCATTTTACTGTGGATGAGTGGCTTGACTGGATGGGAAGACTCTGAGGCTGGCCGACTGTCGTGAGTAGCAACATTAGCAGCAGGACGACGAGCAGTCCGCTATGCCTTATGAGACACGTCCTGCTAATCGCCAGCTGCAGTAACAACAGTTGCCGACAGCTTCTTCCTTGGGCCCTCAAACTCCCACTAGCAAGACAATTCCCCTGTGGCCCGCCAGGTGTACAAAGAACAGAAGTTGATCAGTTAACTTGGGAGGAATGCAGGATAGCTGGGTACCCTGGAGGCAGGTTTAAGAAGAGATGTCATGGAATAAGCTTGAAAACCAGGAAAACGGGAGTTTCTATTAGTCTAAGTCACTCTAAGGATTGATGCCCATAAACTTGAAAATATCAAATTCTTGAAAGTCTTGATGATATCAAAGAAACAGAAGATCTCGTGACCGTTGAAAAGTAATTGAGTCTATCGCGTTTCTATAAGCAAGCACGGTTACTCATGGCCTCTACCCAACAGCCTCATCTTCCACCTCCGTAACACCACGCTCTTTCACATTAGCAACTACATCTCCAGACCTTCATAGAAGTAAAGATCCCGAAACCTCATTCCCTAGATTGAAGCATTAACAACAAGTTCCTCCGTCTTCAGAAGCACTCACGATGACATCTGTCCGGTAAGAGGCAGTTTATTTGATGGCCTATTCAAGAGCATCCGTTCCATCGAACGTTGGAATCGCAGTCAGGGCATTAGGACGTCCCATGTCTTAGTTGGATCTATGATGGTTTTTATTTCGTTCCGGGTCGTTACCAAGAACATGTTGGAGCATTGCATCATCCGGCTCAGCTCCTGATGTCAGGACATCGACTGTCGATGCATAGTAGCGTTCTTATTGGCGTTTTGGCACTGTGATTATTCAGCTGCGTCTGATACGAACGTCGCAGTGCTCATTACACAGCGACCTGAAACATAAGATGTAACAAATGATGTTTACTTCTTGCTCCTTGCTTAATAAAGACGCCTTTCACTTCTGCATTCATTCAGCCGCGGCTGATACAGCCAACGCTTATCACAAACGCCATTTTCTTCGGATCTCTCATATTTCTGAAGTGCTCTGCCTTATCTGAGACATACATGGTTCTCAGCCCCAGAAAGCAAAAGTGGCAGACGCCATGCCGAGCAGACACACCTATGCCGTGAAGGTCAAGGATCCCTGAGCCGGAGATTCACCTCCGTTGTGCCCAACATCTCTCTTCTTCGATCAAGTTGGCCAGAAACAACGGAAGGCCATCTAGTGACAGAAATGCGGGTTTTTGTTCAACTTGAACATTATCAAGCCTTGTTTCATAGGTTGAAAAGGTGACTTGGTTTGAGATGAAGAGTATATCTGTACTCGCACGCATGCAAATTCGTCACAGTCAAAATCTTCGCACATATTTATCCTGGCTTCCGTCTCTTCGACGTGCAGCGAAATAGAGTCCCACCGCTGAATATTTAACCTTGCAGCCGTCCAAAAACGGCATTGTAGGCACCCATGAAGCGGCTTCTGGCAAGAATTCAAATTGGCGATAAGGGAACGCGGGGTCGATCTTGGCTTGAGACTAGGCTTTGGTGATACGCAAGGGAGTGAAAGCGGTCTCTGTTTTTTTCACTGAGAATACTGGCGCCATGATCATGATTTATGATGGTGTGTGAACGTGGTCCTGTTTCAGTACACCGCTCTTTGATTGCTCTACTGTTCTCGAGAGGATGAGACCCTTCATCACGTATGCAGGCCAGTAAGCCACATACTGCAGTCAGCGAGGGAGCGCAACACCATTATTACGTGCTACAAACATGTATGAAAATGATATATCGTACATATCACAGCTCCATGAACCTTGCAACGGCCACATTGCCTTTTCCACTTGCACGAACCAGCCGTCTCTCCCAAAAGTTTACAACTCTTACCCAAAAAAGCACAGGACTTCGGCAGTCAACCTCGTCCCGGATATCGACAACATGGAGGGAGCAGAAACGCTGGGCAGTCGTCTTTGCCCACTTCCATCGATCAAGCATCCTCGGATACCAACCTGGCTCAAGCAGTGCTATCTGTCAAAGTCGAAAATCACGTACCCCGATGTAGAACCATTGCTGCAAGAGAAATACCATAGGAAAGAAACCTGTCATGCTTCCCCGTCTCGCCACCACCACCGTCTTCTTTGGACCTGCAAGCACAACAAACGGTTCCATGTGTCCATGGAAAACACCTTGCGCGATGACAATGACCTTAATGAAGGACCGAGAGCTGAAAAAGAGTCAACACGGACTGAAGGCATTACTGAGTGGTCTGATGCCGTTGGTAGATGCTCTTGGTCATGAGCAAGACAAAAACTTGGAAGCGAAATGAAGTGGCTGGCTGAGTGGAAAAAGCAAAGACATGAGTGCCGAGCGAAGATATCGGATCGGATTGGATAATGTACTGAGACCCGGGAGCGTAATTGGAATGCGGAAGTGACTCCGATAACCCTGGCATTGTCTGTCTTGTCTGTGTGACCCTCCATCTCAGTCAACACCACAATAAGACCCTTGCATGTCGATCCTTCACCGGAACATACTCCCCGTTCCAACAACCGGTTTGTTTCCAATAGCCTACCTTATACGCTACAGATTAATCCAACAACCAACAGCATTGGTCTCTCCTGTCACAAAGTCACCCTTGGCATGAGTTTAATAGCCAACAGGAATCAGAATCGCATCTTTTACCAAACGAAACCCTCCCTGCACATGAATAAGCATTAACTGTCTCTGCTATCACAAGATGTAATTATATAACTGCCGTATAATCCCCATCCTCTAGTCGCCAACAATCAGTGTATCTACCGTCAATCACGCAACATGCAACCAGAAGCCCTTCTCCAGCTTCTCAGCTGGGTAACCGGCGATCTTGCAGCTGGTATGCCCCACTACTGTACTAAGCTCGCTGCAATAGTCGATGGTAAAAACAAGATTCTGGCACTAGACCAATCCATTCCCGCAGTACGTCAATGCTTGGCTTGTCTTGAAAAGCTCCACGAGTTCATGGTTATGGTTGGTAGACCCCACCAACAACCTCTTCCGTGCTGACATGCCAGTCCTACGCTGCGTACAACGTTCTCAGTCCCGACAACAGTGAACTGCGGCAGAGGCAGAATCTTGTATATCTTCCATTTGTGGATTGGTTGAATACCCTTACCTTATGTCGGAACGAGGCGGATGCCCTGGAACTCCTTGCCGAAGACCTCATGGATTGGGATAAGGAATTGCGAGGTGTCAAGGATGGATATGTCTCATATGCACTGTACATGGAACAGAGAATGCCGAGAAGTACATTCTGGGGATGGTCAGCTCGGAAGGAGATGTCGCGTGTATGAACACAACAAGAAGCAAACAGGCTGTCACCTAGGATTGGAAGCAGCAAGGTCCCTTCTGTGCCATGTTTGCAAATGGGTCTCCTTCAGCGACCCGATATTCTGATTCGGAAGAGGATGTCGTTGAGTTTGAGTTTCCACTAAACTTTGTATCTCCGTTGACGTCAGTCTTGTACCCTGACCGTTTGGCATTGACAATCGTCTGTAAGACCCCCATAGCCCCTCACTGCCCCCGCCCGCGACCTGAACCTCAGAGAGTGTGGTCCTGAAAATGCAAGGACTATCTTTGTTGGCCTGACGGATTAGCTTGCTTTCAATTCCGCAGATAAGCCGTCAAAATCTCGACCTCCATCGGGGTTCGACTATCACTCTCTTCTTCCACATCAACTGATACCGGTGTTTGCTTGACAGAGCTGAAGCTGTTGCAGAAGCTCGAGGATGCACACTCATCTTCATTCTCCATGGAAACACTATAGCAAGTTGCCGCTCTGCGGTGAAAGATGAGCTGGAGGCTACCGCCGTCAATTGATGAAATTTCATGACCTCCGAGTGGAAATCCATCAAACGGGATGTAGTGTATTGACTCAAATAAGGTATCAGTAGGCATTATGCACGCCGCTAATTACTGTCTGAGTTTGATAAGGGCATTTCAGCAAGACCATCCTGATCATCAAGCGGAGAGGACACATCAGGATCGGGTACTGCGCGAGATCACCAGCTCAGCGTCTCTTCTTGTGTGTCGCATCATTGGGGCCAAAATCAGAGTTAGAACGAAGCGGAAGGAGTTTCACGAACTCAGAGAGATCAGTATGAGAGAGGTTGGCATCCAGAGCCTAAACCCGAGGCTTGGATATAACGGGAGTGGAAGCCGAGAATGGATCCAGGCTAGCTTCATCACCACCAGCAGCCTGGAGCCACAGTGGCATCTTGCACAGAATGAATCCTAGCTTGATTGAGCCGATCTATAACTACATCGCATAGCGCGCCACCAACAAACCAAGAAAGGCGAAGCTACGTTTCATTACGGAAGGCCACGTGAGTGACAATATTGAACCCAGACACCATGTTAGTATCCGTCCTTCCATACCGTAGAAGAAATGGGCCACCGGCGCCCAAACTACACGTTTACTCTAAACGTTATCCAGCCTTGCCGACTTTTAGGTCTCACGAATCTGTCTGGTTTGGGTTCCGTAATCACCTCTTGGCTTCCTTGTTGATAATACCGAGTTTGGGCTTGTTCTTGGTGAACAGACCAGGGGATTGTTGCGCCGGGTGATATGGAAAAGATGTAGCTTCTTTAACATCATAGTTTTCTTGTCCATGGAGTTCGGCGGTGGCGGCGTTGATGGAGCCACATAACACAGAGGTTTAATATAGACTCTGGCAAGACACCCTGAGTACTTACGGTCGTTCTCTCGATGTCGGTTTGGACAAGAATACGTGGCCGCTTGGTGACTGCCGATGTGAGATGAAGTCGATGTGAGCCGAACGGTACAGCATAACGGATTGATGATTGACAGTCTGCACGAACTTGTGGACAAATCGGTGACGTGTAACAATGGAACAGTCGCGCGTCATCTATGCACAATAATAAGCGAACACAACTCAATCCGGGCGACGCATTGCTATGGTTTCTTTTGCTATTTCGGGGCACCGGCCGGAAAGGTAGCAATATGGAGATACTGTGACGTTGGAGATTTGCCTACATCGCTCCTCATCTGATCATCGGCATATCAGACGTACTGTATGGACTTCCCATTCCGTTGTCGTGTAGCAGTTCTAGCAACCGTAACTTGACAGGATCAGTCAGCATCGTCCAGGTTCAACTATATGATTTGGTGAAGAGTTTCCAGAAGGGGTATATCACCATGAAGACACCCTGACATAAATGTGATCATTTGTTGCTACTAACATATCTGCGAACTCCTCGCTGCTTGGGGGGGTACTCTCTTCCTTTGAGGAAGGACTAGCCCATGTGCTGCTATTAAAGGTGAAATTCATCAACACGGGTCCAAGTAAACGAACATGTAATTTCAACCCACTTCCCCTTTTTTCATGGAGTCTTCATCAAATTTCTGCAAACCAAAATAGCTGCAACTATCCTGTACCATTCCAACTTTTCTTACGGTGCCCCAAGCCTAATGACTCGCATTCATCCGTAGCTTGTATTCAATATTCGTCCAGCTACTGTTCCCTTATTCCCAGCCTGCTCGGCGAGTCTCACAAGCCATTGAGACTTGTAAGATAAAAGAAATGGCTTTGCGAACTTCGACAATCTTGAAAGAATTCTAGGAGTGACACGTAGGAACAGGTTAGGTTGCAGGGATCTGGGTGGCTTCACTGGAAATGACTCTTGCCCATACAGCTGAAATGCGATTAAAAAAAGGCTGACTATGCTAGAGTAAGGACTGAAGTGTATATAACGGAACAATTCTCCGTTCGTACAACTCCAATCAAGCCCTCTTATGCCCAGTGCATGTCGAAGTTCAGCAGATTTCAAATTCTCGAAATTCAATCAGAACGTTGGATATGAAGCCGCCATCAAGGTCCAGTTGAAGCTCTTCTATTGGTCAGTTGCGTAGGAAACAAGACGGCAATAGCCTTCTGAGTAATGGCAGGACAGCCTAGAGCTTGCTGTTCACTGGTCGTGCGTCCTCGGCTCTATGCCTTTGTACGATTTTACTGGGAACCGAGCGACAGTTGTGCGTGTATGAAGTGCCGACAGGCAAAAGGAACATATACCGGAGGAGACTCGCTTTACGCGTCAGAAGCAGCGCCTCAAAACTCTCAAGGCTCTTCCACAGGACAAAGCAACAGGGCCGACCCCAAAATAACAGGCGACCAGTCTGCCACGGTGACTTTATTCCGTCGGGCCGCCACCCGGTTTAAGGATTCGCATCCACATTTAGGGCTGCAATAGGATCCAGACCTTGATGCTTTATTCACTGCCACTCGTTAGCTCGCCATTAGGATGATTTGGCCCGTTGCTCAAGCAATCATCCTTACCCTGGACACAGCCGCGTTGGGAGCGCTTAATTGAAGGTGCAGCGATGCTTTCATTGGTCGTTGATGACTCCAGCATTTAAAGCAGGGCGATGCTTGAATGGGGCACGTCAAAGTCAATTTATCAGCGAGACGATGAAGCCAATTCAATTGGTGTCTTTCCGAGAACCCCAGGCGATAGTGGCAATGAAAAAGGAACTTCTGTGTGAGCCGCGGGTCTAGCAAATTAGTGCTTACACGAGAGTCCATTCAGAGTCAAGCGTCTAACCAAGATCCACTCATGGTCTGGGGACTTGCCGAATCGAGCCTGAATGCAACATGGGTTGATGTCTGCAGCGCAGCGTTATCTGATCTTTCAACCAATTTGAAGCTGGCATTTTGCAGCAGACCTCCCATCTTCTTATCTCAGTATAGAAGTGCCACTAGTAGTCGAGTAACTGGATGAATGCAGTATGGGCTGCCATCAAAATGAAGCTTTTCCGTCTTCACCTATTGCTGACCGCCCACGTTGCTCTCGAGGTGGAGATGACTGGGGTGTTCAGGGGTATCGTGTCAAATTAGTCTCGGTGCCTCTGCCGCCGTCGTTTCCAAGTGGGCCGTCATAAAGGCATTGTGCCCTGCTAGGACAGAGGAGGATTTCCTCCCCATCGTTTGTGTTACCAACAGGCGACATACGCATCGCCATGGAGTTGTCCCTGCTGTATTTTCTGTGTTTGTTCTCCTCAGCCTCAGCCGCAAGCTTTGGCTTCGACTTGTAAGCTCACCTCTTCTTGTGTCTGAAGTTAACCCCTGACCGGTCCAAGCTCAAATTCTCTCATTCTACCGCGCTCCAACCCCACCAGCAAAGACGGCAACTGCGGTTCTAATTCTGATACTAACGCAACATGCCTCACATCCACTTGGGGTAATTGTTGCTCAGAGAAAGGCTTCTGTGGCAAGACATCAGCATACTGTGCTGAGGGCTGCCAAGAAGCCTTTGGTACCTGCGCGTCGACAGGTGGGCAGCTTGTCAGTATCTCAGGGTCATGTGGCGCGACCTCTTCTAGCAACATTACATGTCAAGGGAGCACATTTGGAGACTGCTGCTCTCAAAAAGGGTACTGCGGTAACAATGAAACCTACTGTGGTGATGGGTAAGTACAGTCCAGTCTCATTCTCTTTTCATTTCAAAAGAATTCCTATACAACCTGGTCAACTATTGGATTCACCTGACATTTACATCTAAACAGCTGCCAAAGCGAGTTTGGTACTTGTGAATCTAGCGATGAGTCTTCAACGGTTACCACAGTAACACTCTCGACCACCACAGCAGCTGATGAGACTTTGGCGGCTTCTGCAACGGATGATGACGCTAGCTCTGCTGATAGTACCTCATCATCTGAACCAGCGTCGGCAACAGAAGGTCAGTCTGATTCCAGTTCATCAGATTCTCTCAGCACTGGTGCCAAGGCTGGGATCGCAGTTGGAGCAGTTGTCGGTGGCCTTGGAGCAATCGGCCTTATCGCTTGGCTGGTCTTGAGGAGGAGGAATAAGAATAATACGAGGCCGGCTGAATCTGTAGCGGAGAGCAATGAGGTAAAACCTGCCGACGAGTTACGGTATGAGTTGCATGGAGAGACTCGCGCCGAGTTGCCTGCTTATGAGGTAACGAGATAATCAGAGTGAATGATTCTGCCTCAGCTAATAATATATTATGTCAAGTGAGCTGCAGCTTATCAAGCTAAGCAATAACTCTCACCGTTTTAATAATCATTCCATAACAACCGATTGGGTTATGCGCCACCAAATCCCTCCAACACCAAAAAAGAATACCATTTCAACAACATTGCTACTTGGTTATATTGCTCCTTCCCACGCCACTAGTTAGGGCTCCAGTACGAACAATAAGAATTATTATGATAGCGGATGTTTGTTTTATCGCCACTGACTCCCAAACTTTCGTTATGTTCCTCTGTTCTAGTTGATGTTTGTTGTATTGTTGGTCAAGCATCATCGGAGCCCGTGCAAATTCAGGCAGTTATAAGAACTTTCAGTTAGAACCTGGTCGTTGCTCCCATTGCTTTACAATGAGTCTCAGTCAGAAAGGCCATCAGCTTCAACCGAGACTTCTTCTGCAACGTGGACTGTATGATTCCAATTGATAGACTCAGTTACACCAATTGATTCTGTTGCAAAGTGGTTTTCAGACGGGAAACCCACCACTTCCTCGACTGTTATTGATACAACCATGATTTCTAGCCTAACCGTATGGTCCTGACAACACCTGGAAAGTGGTCGCTCAGATCCGTGCTTTCTACCGATTTCACCCACTGCCATCTCACACTTGAGTCCATGCCTTCGCTATCACTGGTCCTCAATCGACCATTCTCAAAGAATTCCCCTCTAAATCGTAGCAGTCCTACTCTTTTGAATATTCCATTACTCGACTGCACAATCATGCCGTAATCATGACTAATGACTATGCATCGGAGTATCATGGGTTTGGGATCCGGAGCGTCAGCAACGAAAGAAAGGTCAGAACAGCACGTTGCCCCACCGTGCGTAAGACTCAAAGACCAGAAGAGCCCTCTCTCAGGGGAAGCAATGTTCATCTGAACATTAAATTGCGTCCAGGTGCCTCTGTCATGGCCTTCCCACTTCACAACCCAGTGCTGGCCTGTCTCCCTAGTAAAAAAGGAGTTTCCATATTCCCAGTTGCCTGGAAACCTATAGGGCTCGCTTTCGATGAAAGGTACGTCGAAAGTCTCGGTCGTGATTCTCAAGATGTATGTCAAGCCTCAAGCCGCAAAGCACTGGCTGAAGGTGAGTGATTGAGCGAACTCATTGTTGACTTTCAAAAGCCTGCCTGTCGTTGTTTCTACAAAGAGTGGCACCGTGAAGCTGTTTTCCAAATGCTTTATGTTGGACAAGAAGCTCCACCTCACTTCACATCTCCAGGCGCACCAGGACCAGGTTGGAAAACCGTCCCTTTGGTCCAACCTAGTCTCTATGACTTCGGTGTTACGCCACTCTGGCTCCCATAGCATTACCCAGAGGAGCGCACCCACCACATCATGATGCTTGGATCTTGCCGTATTATAAATTGCATCTTCCTGGTCAAAAGCTGAAATCGCTCATCCCGCCCATCGTAATGGCAGACCCCAATATTGCTCCACCGGTGGCTGAAGCTGCGCGTAGAAGCTAAAGACGCCATCCATGGCTCTCAATATGTCGGAGTCGTACGTCATTTCATGCTCTGAGAATGCCTACAAGTCTGCCATGAATCTTGAGTTTCTAAGGCTGGATTGAGTTAAACCTTTCTCTTTGTCCGATATGCACTCAAACATGCGATCCCGATGTTCGAAGTCGATAATGCGGTTGTTGAAACTTTCCAACAATTCCTCGGCGCAAGACATAGTACCGCACTGAAAGAAGACTTGCTCATCAGCAAATATGATACACCTGCGAGAGAACACTGCTTCTTGGTATGTCAAACCTCTAGTCAACCATTTCGATTTACCCAACTGGAATCCTATCAGGTTGGTATAAGGCTTCCATGTCGTTCCGTCCAGGTTGATCTTGCTCGGAAGTTTGCGAGGACGCTGACCAACACCGGGTAAACCATACGATGAACTGTCGCCGGCAGCTGCAACTATAGTAACAGTTGCCTGATTATTTGTAAGTCTGTTAGCTACTTCTGCAACCCGTTATATCCGCCATGGTAGTGACAACATGCAAATAGTGTGCATTTGACCCAGCTGACAGGTCATGTCTTTTGCGTTGCTTTGGTCAATGCAACGTTGATCAACCCATAGATATCTAAATCCGAGTTCGAGTGTCACTTTCATGGCGTCCCTAATGACAGGGCTAGACAGGATATGAATATGCTTTTTTTTGTAGTTGGAAGAACATCCCCATACATAGCTCAATGCGACGTATTCGACAAACTCTGTACACTCCACTATAGCCTCGGTATTGCAATCTAGGAGCTTGAAGTTTGGTATATGAATTGGCTTTGTAGTAAGCATCTGACACGGTTTACCATGAGTAGCACGGCAATGAGCAACCCAGTTTCTCATCATGTGATAATCAACGCAACTGGGATCTATGTGCCGATACTGTCCAATTGCTCCGGGGTCCCGAAGGAGTGTAGTATCGGTTATCTGTGTGATATACTCGGCTTCATAATTGTTGGCTATGCATATGTGGTCAATTCGACGAATATTCCAGCGACTGAGGCCTATTGTCACTACACCCTCCGATTCGCCAGGCGTGTCTTCAAGGTGTAGCACTGAGGTGAGAAAACAACACAAAGGGCACGTGGAGGCTATTGATATGCGTAACGGGACGTCAGGTTTGTCTCCCCTGTCTTCCAAACATATCTGGTCAAGATCGACAGACTGACATGCTGTATAAAGATCCTTTCTTTGCCAGGGATGAAGCTCTGTCCGAACGCCCATTTCTATGTTCGATATTAGAACAAGCAGTACGTTATTGGCAAGGCTCGATGATGTTCAGATCATGCCATAGCAACAATTAGCCTAACTGCCGAGGACGTACGTACCCTGAGCTCAAAACAAAAACGATCAAACGTGATCCCAGCAGTCTCCTCTCATTGCGTCCCTACAGGCTTCTTCTGGTCAGTTATGTTGTTTCTCTTAATATCATTGACACTTTACAACAGAGAACATACACGCAGCTGTGGTACGAAGCGAGGTGACAGTCTAGCAATCTGCAAAAAAAGCAGGACGATGCCGAAGCTGTATCAGGACTACACTCAAAGTAAAGAATTGATTCTTGGGCTACTGGAAACCCCGTTGGAAGAGGAGGGCTGTGTTTTTGACGAACATACTTGCTGCTGCAGTCGGTTGTAGCAATAGTGCGGGGTTCAGGTGCGGAATGGAGCGACTGGGAGGGTCTAAAATACGTTTAGATGCATATATGCCTCATCCATCCAGGACTCTTAGCTGGCAAGAGAATATCCAACAATATCAGGGGCTGTCAAATACCAGGACTAATGGTACAATAAATGTATTGCTGATAGCTTGATTGGTGGCTGTGAATATATATCCAATGGACCTGGACCCAGCTGGAGAGGCCTCTCAGCAGTATGGCCACATGCTTCTTTTTTATGTCCGAGCAAAAAAAATATGAAGCCATCTACATAATCGTCGCATGGCACTATACAACAATGAAACTTATTACCTGGGATTCGGTTCACTGTTATGTGCTGATTCGCCCAGACCACAACTTGCAACTCCACGCTTTTCCAGATCCTCGTTATATGCCTGGATCTTGGCCTTCTCCTCGTCTGTTAACTTCTTTGGAATATCCTCTGCATTAGGAGAGAACATTTGCTCCCGAGATACTCGACTGCCGTCAGAGGTAAGAAATCGTTCAGGCATTGGGCGGCCCTCATAGAATTCTCTGATCCGGGTGGGGTTGAGGCCAACTGCATCAAGAACGTTCCGTTCGGCATCAAAGGTGCGAAAGACACCATCGTAACCTAATGCGCTTATGCCATTCCCTTCTGGGTCCCTCTTCATGGAGGTCCTTAGGTCGCGCAGAGACATGTTCTCCGATACAATTTGTTGGTTTATGACAGCTTGGGGCATGGTCGAGTCCTGAGGGAAGGTTAGCTCAATTGTAGATGGGACTTTGAGGAACACTTGCAGACTGTTCGTCGATCATTTCGGAGGGGTGAAGTGTGAACAGTAGAAGGCTAAAGATTGCAACAAAGATAAAGTTTTCTAAAGGTGGTACATATAACCTGTTTTTAGTACATAAAGCATGTAGTAATAGTGTAAGTAAATAAATTGGAGATAGGAATTGGATATCCTGGCGACAGAGGATGGAGTGAGTGAAATACCTATCTGGAAATCGCCGAGAAATCATCGCTGGCCGGCGTAGGCCAGAGACTAGGAAGTTATGCATGGACGTGCATGCCCATCGACCCATGGCCGTTGCACTTGCTTTATCATGCGTGCCGGTTACCCGTTGTCACTGGTCCACGATCTGCAGAACATTCAAACGTAACGGCTGTTACATAAGCATTACAGAGGGGGCTTTCAATAGCAGACGTTCAAGTCCGTTGTATATCTCAACATCCCCAATTGCCATACATGTTTTGCACAATTACATTGCTGCAACATTACTCCAATTAATGTATTAACAGCGCTTTCAAATCTTGCTGCATTCATGATGCGATGTTGGTTCAGGAATGTGAAATGGCATTCAAAAGTTCCATTGTTGGTTGGTCCGTTGGTTCGCGCATGGGAAATGCCTCGCTAACAAAACAACAACAACCAACAACACCTGAGGAGGCGATCTAGGCCTGTCCATTTCAAGTGATTTTTGGTTACTAGCTACTATAACTACATTTGAGAGGCATCACTCGTAGGCGAATTGGATTCCTATTACCAAAATTCCAGCACAGGGTGGCCGATCCGCGCATCAGTTTGCATAGGGTGGGATGATGCCTATGGTAGCAGTCGAGATGACAAGGGATACATATGAGAGAAAAAGAAAGAATATAAGTAGATCAACCGTCTGACTTAAAGACTGGGCTTTCTTCCTTATTCTACCATCAACAGCATCATCCCATCGCCCAATATGCGAGCCGGCCTCTTCAAGATCTTTACCATCACTGCGACCTTTTCTACAGTCCTATCTGCGCCTGTAGACCCAGCTGAAGGGCAGGTCAACACAACCGAGACCACCGATCTGCATGCCGTAGCAACACCTGTAAAGGTTGCTGAAGTCAAGGATACCGGCGCCGGGGATGTGGTTAGTGTTCTCCTATGCGTTTCTCCAAATAATTGTTTCAAAGTTGCGTCGAACCCGACACTAACAGCTTTGTATCCCAGACTATACAGCAGAAGTGTCCCAGGGACACTGCCCCTCACATCAGCAAAAGAGAGAAACATGGACAAATCTTCGAGCGGTCTTGTCGGGAATATACCTGCCACGCAGACTGGCAGTGTATCAAATGGGGATGTTTGGAGTGCAATATTTACTTTCGCCCTTGTGGGGAGTCATACACACGATGCTATTAGTAAAAATGCCATATCGATCACGGAGAGAATCACTCCAATCTAAATGAGTACGAGGCTAAAGTGAGGAGTAAAGTATTGATACACACAAATCATAGCCCAGGATGCAGGAATAAACAAGCGTAATTCTCAAACAGCGAATGGAGTTTGATATGATGCTACCAGTGATACATGGAGATCTTCCAGAGTTAAAAGTCGACTGATCCCTAACTCCAACTGAACTCCACTGCATGAAGGCCATCACTCAACCCCGACAAATAGAGTCGACGACTTTGTCTCATTCCTTGTGTATCTCATGCGACCCTGATGCCGTGCAGCTGTCTCCCCTCGCCGAGTAGCTTTAGATTCGGCGGTCGTTCTTCTCTCCGTGGTTTCGATCGAGGATTCAGTGCTTCTATATCTAGAAAATGATTCTTTACTCGGCGTCATTGGACTGTTTGCAGTTCCTCGTTTGCGCCGTCGCCGATGTCATTCTCGGTAGCGCGACATGAACTTCCCTCAACACGTCCGTCCTTGATCTGGTAGAATCCCGATCGTCTACGACAGATCAATCTTGTCCCGTCGTCCACCGTCGGACATTCAGCCTCCATATCTTGATTAAGCTTTACTATCATCAAGCTGGTCGTACTTCTTGCTGCTTCCCTTCGCTTTATCAACAGGGTACTTCTTCCGTGTGATCTCAAGCTTATCCAACACAATCTTGTCCGGGTCGACACCCATATTGTCAGCAAGAAGTAGACAGTATGTCAAGACATCTGCGAGTTCTTCCTGCACTCGTTTCGGATCAGGCTCTGCGCTCCACTGGAAGCACTCAAGGAGCTCGGCGGCTTCGATGGAAACGCTTTTGGCGAGGTTTTCGGGGGTATGAAACTGTGCCCAGTCTCGTTCAGCGACAAAGGCTGTGAGTTTTTCTTGGATTTCTTTGTTGACCATTGTGTTATATGCTGGTTGGGAAAAGCTCACGATGAGAAATCTATCGTTGTTGTGGGCGGCTTTGTTTATATAGGCCCGATATGAAGAGCTCTGTGGGTCGATGCGGCCCGAACCACACCGCTTCTTCTAGAGGGATCAGCTCATTCGAGCACCCTTCAGCGTAAGTAGTCACAGTCAAATAGCAGCACGCCGCGGTAGGAAACTCTGCTTAGGTCCAGTCTCAAGTTTGCGAGTTGTATCGCGCAGTGTTGGGAGAAGGAAGGTCATTAAGATTGGTCGTTCCATGAGTTTCTCATTTGTACCACAAACAGAGCCAATATGGTAGAGTAAGAGAAGAACGTTGCAAAACTAGAGCGACTACGCTTGGCGAATACTGCAGGAAGTGACAGAAGAAGCACAACATCTGAGTGCAAGAGATACTATAAGAAGATAGCGAGATATAATTCAAACAACACCGTGCCTAGACAAGAAACACTAAACAATAAACTCAAACGCGACGACGAAAGCCACAGAACCAAAAAACCACCAAACATTTTCCGTCTTATCCTCTGTCTTCATTGTCTTCTCGTCCTCCTTTTGTTCGTTTCTTGGATCACTGACCCCAAGTGGACGTGTAACCGATATCTTTCTTGCCTTGTAGAACTTATCGAGTCTCATCTTCGCCTTCCTCGACATATTGCTGTAGGCCTCATTTGTGGTGTTTGGAAAAGAGTATCGTTTCGTAAGGCTTGTTCTCGTGTAAATCCACGGTATTCCCCGCAAGGCCTCATCGACTGTCGAGTGCGTGACCATGTTCGTTGTCCCGACCTCCCTCCAGAATGATAGTTGTGCGTCTATTGTCTTGTTTCCTGGCTCCATTTGCGCCATGGTGAGCCTGAAAAAATGCGTAGCAGTATCAAAAAGCCTTAAGATATGCGCCAGCGTAAAGTCAATTGAGCGAAGAATGCCGTCAGCCCAGTCTTCATCTCCAGCCAAGGGCCTTATCTTGGCCTCGAGAATTTTGAAAAGTAAGTCAATGTCCCCTAAGAATTCGAACCTTTTGTCGAGATGTTTCAAGGCATCCATCATCATCTCGTGGCCCTTTTACTCAAACTCCCAGTACCAAATCGCTGACTTGACAATTCTCTCATGGGGCTCCAAGTGGAAGTTTGCGGCAGGCTGATATCCTGACCAGAACGTATAGTGGCTGCCTACGACGTCGACGAAACCTTTATAGGCAGATGCTAGACTCTTTGTTGTATCTCTGCAGCTTCTATACAGGAATACCAAGTCACTCATGTCACTCGCCTGTCCAGCATAGGAACTCGACGTCAGCAACACAAGAAGATCACCAATGGCGTTCAGCTCAGCGTAGAGCAAATCAAATATTTCCCTGGGCTCCATAGGCGAAAGGGGATTGTGTGGAAGGCGTATCGTATCCTTCATACAGCTCTTCAATTGGCTCCGTCAGATCGTACGGGGTCGACAGTACCTCTTGCCTCGGGATGATCCATAGAGGATTGCCGGTTTCATAGAAGTAAACGAGGAAAGACAAGATGGCGATGACCGCCAAAATGCCGATGCTGTTGCAAATCATCTTTCGACGTGAGGACCCGCCAACAGACTGGTGCTCGGCGGCAGAAGTAGGCGCTTTGTGGAGCTCCTCTGCCAGCGAAGCGACTTGGCTGGGGCTTGATGAGGGGGCAGAGGAAGAACTGGGTTCCGGGGTCGTCGACGTGTTATCTTTATCTTGCTCACTTTTTGAGCTCTTTGAATGTCCAGCAAACAAGGCGTACAGTTGGAATTCATGTTCTCCATGCGTCAAGGGCCTTGCTGCTGACAGAGCAGGAGAGGTTTGACGACTCTCCAGATCTACGCTATACTGAGGGCCCCCATTGGGCCTGTCAGTATGGTCTGGACAGAGAGAATCTTGGTTGCGGGTAGGTGAGTGATTCGAGGTAGAGCGTTTTTGCGACATGATTGCTATGTTGGTTTGTGGTATTATGGGATACTGAATTCAGCTTTTGACGAAAAACGGAGAAGAGGAAAGAGGAGGGGGATGGAAAGTAAGAAGACCGAAAAATTTGTGTATTTCCTTTGTTCCCTCTGTGATGGCGTTACTAATCCAGCTAAGCCAGTTGGCCGGGGTTGGTAGGTGCGGACTTAAGGTAACAAAGAACATCTCAGAAGCACCACCAAAAAGGAAACAAAGGTGCCAGCCAGCCTTGTACCTTTCAAGTTGAGTGTGATTGGAGACGTGGCTCGATTACATGCCCTGAGCTTGTCAAAGATGTCTTTGTCAATGTGTCGCACGATGTCAGGAATTGTGTGTGATGCTGCTACAGATGACGACAACAAATGCAAATAAGAGAAGAGAACATTGGATCTATTTAGGGTGCAAAGACATGTTCACTGGTTGTTTTAGCGAGCATTCTGGGCGCTCTGCTACTACATCAAGCGGTGAGATCCGGAAATATGTATTCAACACAACGGGCCCTTTGTTCAGGAAAAAGAAGTTGTAGTCAAGATCTGGACCTGTTATATTCAGCTTCCTCACTTTGATCAAACTCTTATAAATAGACGATGGAAAACCCACTCATCAAAATCCAAACTCAACAATTCTCTCAATAGTCTGCGACCATAGGCTGTGTGTAAATCCAATGAGAGACAACTGCAAATTCATGGTCTGATCGACGTGGGGCGCGAGAGTATTTCGGACATACATTCAACCTTACTGATATATATCGAAATTATTAAAATGCTTGTACATACGACCAAAGGTAGTG